GATGAGGCACTGGGCGAGAGTGAAGCCAGAAACGCCCCTACGTTCCTGCATTACACGCCTCGCTGCCATAAAACTGGAAAAGCACAAGGCCCCTAGGTGGCCACAGAGGAAGAATGAAGGAGACGACCGAGCGACATAGAGCTCTGCCTTGGTGGACGACCCATGGGAGTCGCCGCCTGTAGATCGGCAGCAATAAGGGCAAGCGCAAAGGGTTCTTGATGAGAAAAGTACCCCTCACGGGAAACGGAGGCTTGGAAGCCTGAAGAAGCTTGCAAGAGGTGCGTGGACGACAGTCACTACGCCTGGGGAAAGCAACGGCAGCACTAAAATGGCAAAGCGTAGGAGTTGTAAAATTTTAGGCGCCAGCGAAGGGCTGCTGTGTGCTTTCGGACCTCCCCCCGCTGGACGCAGACGCTCGTGAATCAGCTATATATTTCTGCGCAACAACAGTGGCGAAGACGTGTGTTGGATGAGAGGAGCGTAGCACACTAGAGGCAAGCAGCACAAACCGCAAGAGGCTCTCCAAAGATATGATTGGAAGCCAGGTCGCGCAATGGTGGCGTGAGCCAGAGTATACGGAGTCCACAAATGAGAAGCAGGAGCTACTGTGCAGCGTGGGAAGAACAGCTGCGTTTGTTTCTGAGGTACTTGGGCAGGTGCGTGAGCTGCTGCAAGACGCGAGCCCACAGCGTAGTTTCGATAGAATGTTCACAGTTGAGCAGCCGGGAGAAAGGAAGGGGATTTTGCACAACGCTTGGTGTTTTAGCCTTGTCAGTGGAGAGCAGCTGGATATCGGCCGCGTCGTGACGGGACTGTTAATGTGGTGCGGGTGCGAGTGCCTAGCGTGGGATCAACTTACAAGACCTATATTTCCACCCTCTTTGATTACTGTCTGCGGGGTATAGTTGAGCAGTAGAAACTTATCCATAACTATATTGACACATTTTTGCGCTCGGAAGGCGAATTATGGAACATACGTCTTCTAGTTTCAGTTCCACCGGGCTTTAGCCAGCTGCTCTAAAAGCATTGTTCGTGAGAGGATACATAACCTAGTGTACAACAGCTGCTTCACCTTGTCCCAGTTGCATATCTCCACATTATCCTTGATATAAGGCGTGCTACGTGTTCCTCGTACCGTCGCAGTGGTTTGACCCTCATATCGGTGAAAGGGACAACCGCTAGGCCTAGAGAAGCCCTTACGTGGCTTACGCCTTCCTTCTCCAGGGTCTGTTGATGTTCCACAAAGTCCTTTTCTGAACGGTTGTGCCTCCTTTTCCTTATAGAAGTTCCATGTCGGCCGATCAGACGACGTCCAGCGCCCCGAAGAAAAGTGACCGCTATTGTAACCAGGTAACCCCGTCTTCCCTGTAACTCAAGTAGCTTGTTATATGTCCCGGCTGACGGCTCTTCAGTTGTTTCAATGACTTGCACGTTGTGTTGCATATTCACCATTTCTGAGTGAGTGTTGGCTTTGACGCCTCTTCATAATTTTGGGGCGCAAGACAGCGTGCACGTTTCTGGATTGGCCCTGACTTGTGCATTGTCCGCAGCCTAGCGTTTGCGCTGATGCCAACTGCCGGTTAAACTGGAAACTACTCTAATCCACGCACATCAAATGCAATCACTAGGTAACCGCAAACATGAAATCCAGGGGATTTCAAAGTTACGAAGACAACAGAGGCAGAGCTGGCTCAATTTTCAGTGCCTGACAAAGTACCTCCATCATTACCAGTTGCAAACCTTGAGCTTGGCTGCAGAGCTTGTAGCGTCCAGCCACACAGAGAGATCTGCTTTTCTGCTCATTATAATGTTAATCGCTATCATACGTGGACAAATTTAACTTAGACCCCTTCCTAAGGCCATCTGCGTACTCGTTGTATTGCGAACAGTAGGACAACAACTCACTAAGGAGCCTGGATAATAGCAGTCTACAGCCTTGTCCCATGGATTGCAAATACTAACTGGCAGAGAGACTCCAAATTACATTTTATGTTTTAAACATTCGTGTCACAGTAAAACAGAGAACCGGAAATATTTAGGGCAGAGAACATACTCACTTTGTCAATTCCGTTGCGGGAGTATGAGTATAGAAGCAAAATAGAATGTTTGCAGAAGCTAAACAAAGTGAGAGTCAATAAATGCTGTCTGTTGCCTGAAAAAATAGTAGAATGTTATTACTACGATTGTAGATTGCTTAGCAGAAGATCTCGAAGATGCTTGCCTTGTGGCATAGAACTCAAGCGTGCGTTGCCGCACACAATTTCGTCTGCGTCTGAGCAGAATCACGGGGACAGACGGATAGCAAGTTGTTTCGCAATGACAAGAGCTACTCAAAACGTTTCTTTGGCTCTTTGTCGTAGTTAAATGCAACCTAAAGTAAGGCATAATGTGTGCGGATCATTATCTCTGTCTCTTCCCACTTGAGAATGGTGCATGTGCTTCACTTTTGTGTACTGAGTGTATTGACACAGCACCTTTAGTTAGGACCTAACAGATCCAGAGCTCCTTTGGCCGCTTATATCTGCTCTCACGCTTTCTCCACCTATTTATCCTGATACCCTCTAGAAGTTTGCTCGTCCGACTTATCGAAGGAAGAAGGCCTAGGTAAGCAAGCCTAGGCATCGCCACCGGCATCTTTGACAATTGAGCCTCATTTTTCAATGTAGAACTGTTCTGCGTACGGAACTTGGTCGAAGTGGAGAGGCGAATCAGACCTACAGGTGTAAATCTTACAGTATTAATCTCCAGGATCGCGTTGGTGCCTGTGCCCCGTGCAGTCAGTTGCATCGATGCTGACCCTGACTGGAGGGACTCGATCCCTTCGCAGCATGCTTGCTTTTGGACAGTGCGTACCGCAGCATTGCAGTACCAGGGCAACGTAGTTTATCGCCTAGCCGGAATCCCCAACCGCTGTTGGCACCGTGCAGACCCTGCTGCATGCACAAGCCTACATATTTGATTGTATGCATCACAGTGCAACGAGGAAAAGAAGTGTAAAAGCAATGCGCTTATGAGTTCTTAACGCCTTCGTGCCTTGCTCTACGATGGTCGTGATACAGCCACATTCATACCTGCAGATATATACACAACAAAGTGTAGAAATGCACAAGCATTTACGGCCACTGAAGAGAGAAACCCCGCCGTCAACTGGGGCTCCAAACGAGCAACTTGATTGAAGTCGAATTTACGAGCTCTATCAAGCTCGGTGCAAACTTTGAACGTGCGGACCGGCCCTGTAGCTGGCACGGACTTCGCGTAACTCGAGGAGTCTGTTCTTAGGTCAAAGGCCAATTTTGGATTAATCCCATTTAGAGCTGCAGCGTTTCCCAAGTCAAGCTCGTGCTCTTCTTAAATTTTAAGGTCATATCTGCATGGGGCAGAAGAGCTAGTTGAGCCAGCTATGGGGACACACATAGGTGGCCAGCTGAGATTCACTTCTTTTGAAGCGAGGCAAGGCACAGCTGTCGTAGGAAAAAGTTGCGTTCTCCACAGAGATTAAGGCTTAAGACGTCTGCTTCAAGATTCAGCCGTGGTGGTACCTAGATAGCAAACTCGTGGAACATAGTCTAAAGCTGTCTACTGAGCATGGTATTGACTGGGAAGAGACGTGTTGGGCTTGACAAGCCCGACACGTCTCTTCCCAGTCAGTACCATGCTCACCTGACAGTAATCCTCGTGTGGCTTGTCAAGCCACACGAGGATTACTTCCCTCGAATTTTGTGTTGCACGGGCGACCTGAGCAGATCAAACCAGAAGCTTCACTATCACAGACCATTTTTAAAAATCGCAAAACAGACCTGATGGATTTATTTTGTTGCTAAGGGCTGTCTCTCGGCAAGGAATTGGTGCCTTGTACAACACCCGAAGCAGTTAAACATGGTTGATACAGAGTATATGAGGTGTTCCCGGAGTAGGCAAGTGCCACTTAAGCGGTCGCTACCCCTGCGTGCCGATCTAAAAGCAGCAGAGTCATGGCAGTGCACTGCCATGACTCTGCTCCCAATTTGTCCTATTACTGGACATCACCGCAGGCACGCACCCATTTCTCCAATGCACCAAAGTGACTCACTCTTAAAAGGGAAGCTGTTCAGACGACCTCGTGCTAAGAATCTGCCCAAATTCTGTAGGAAGCTTTAACTATGCCGCATCTATTGCACCTACAGGACTCCAAACTCCTGTAGGCTTGGTATCTGTTTCAAACTACTCTGCAGACCTTTTATGCCGCATTGAGGTAATAGAATACTAGCCGAACTTTCCAATTGAAACTTGAATGCCCTTACTGGTCACAGACTTTCTCTTGAGCATTGCAGGGTGTTTCTCCCCTTCAGTTGCTCTTAAAGCTTCAAACATGCACCTGTTTTGGTGCTGTAACACTTAGATCTCTTTAATTTGCTGTTGTGAAGCCACAAATGTAGTATTAAAAATATTTCATGATGCAGTCTCCACAGGAACGGGCACCGGAGGTGCATTCTTAGAAGGCATGTACATGAACGCCTTTAAGAAGTATCCAGATGCTCAAAACCAACGATATTATGAACTTCATTCGGCAACATCAGACACTGGAAGTATGAATCCACTGCTCAGAGCTTTCTTTGGGGGCCCCCTTCAGCCCCACGTGCTCAGCTTCTACAGTATGCCACGTAATTTTTGGAGCTGAAGCATGTTTACGTTTTGCGTGCTACTTTTTTATGAGTGCAGCCATAAACCATAAAGACAACTAATGGTGTCCTGTGGAGATTCTGACTAACGGGACCACGACGAACACTGTGAGACCCAAAACATCGCTCGTTGCCTTTAGGCCTAATGGAATCGTTCATACGGAGTCAAGCTGCACATTAGAACAATTTTCCGATGGCGACTGTAGAGGTGTGCTGGCCTGACGTGTGGCGCCTGCAAGGAAGTTTGCTTGCTGATGAGCGAAGCCATCTGCTGGGTACGACATGGAGGCAAGCACCTAACAAACTCTGCGGCATTTGGCTTCCGCAGCAAATTGCGGCTAGATGAGACACGGCACGAAAACCGTACAGGCCTTCACTTCATTCCTAGCTTCGCTGTGCGACTGTGCAGCTGAAGTCGAAGTCGTCGCTTTGCTGCTGCTGCACATGCGTGAAGATGTTTTAATCAGACAGCTGGAAGTTGACCCCAAGCTGCGGAAGTGGCTAAAAAAACTGCTGTTGCAGTTGCCTTCAGCGTATGACTGCTACTCTGCCGAGGCATACCCTCTGACTCAAACAACGCAGAAGTACGGAGGATACAGCCCCACAGAGCTGCTCTTGCCTCTCATAGAAGTCTAGTGGCAGAAACATTACATATGATGCATATCCACTGTACAGCGCTGGGTTTTCGTTCACTTGTCCTCACACTGCTATGGTCAGGCTCTTGCTGCGGGTTTTCTTGCGGCTGGCGAAGTTGCAGTTGGTAAACCTGAAGGTGCAGCAGCTACTTTCTCTGCCATCTACAGCTTGTATGGATATCTGTTTGTGCTGGGAGGTGGCAGATCCGAATCTGTGTCGCGAAGTCGCCTTCACCTTACTGACGTCGCTGAAGCCCACGAAGCGACAGAGGCTCATAGTCGAGTTGAGAGAGTCTGTGCTTCGTGCACTTGACGTTGCAGCGAAGAGACTTGACGCGATCAACAAGCGGCCAGACTGCCCCGTATTGTGCCCACTATTGTCAGCTGCACAGGCGGACCATACTTCTTCGTCTTGGCAAGCGGCCACTGCAGGTGCTCTGCAGCATTTGATAGAAGTCCTATCGACTTTACGAGTAGCTACGTGCTGTTTACCAGTGTCCTTTGCACTGGAGCTATGGGAAAGAAGGCAAGATAAAGACTCGTCACATCCCACCATTGAAGCGATGCTCAACGCGCTGAGAAGGCCGGAAGCCCCTAAAATTGTTGAGGCTCCTTTCGCAGCTCTCCTTAGACGGGTCTATGCAAAACTGGTGAGATTTAAAGACATTACACGTATAAATCTACAAACTGCGTTTAAGCAGCACGTATTCGCTTCCCAGACGGCTTCTTTCAACAGCTGCGGTAGCTATAGTGTGCCTTGGCGTGGAATTTTGAGTTTAACACATTCGTTACGCGGCCTATTGACCTGGTTCAGACACGCCCACCGTGGACCGAATGGGCCACATCAATCATGCCACCAAGCCTTCATCAGGCGGCTATTAGGGCTCGGTTACTGATATGCAACTGTTTAGTTGGGGACGCAACTGCCCAAAGCCGCGCAATTCGGGAGGAGCTCAGTACTGGAGACACCAGAAGACGTAGTCGGTGGCTGGAGCAGCAATCAAGTAATTTACTACAGGATTGGGGCGCTTCGCTTCTTCAGCTATTTGAGGTGACTTAAAAGCACGCCAAGAAACCGTCACGACTTCCCCAATAGCTTTGGGTCGCTTTTGAGGTGCTGGCGGCACTGAATATTTCATCTGCGGCATTGCAGGACTGCTCCCCCAACGGTGGCACCACGGAATGTATTATCAATGACCTATCTTTTAGTGGGATTCGTCGTTTGCTGGATCACTGGCGCTCACTTGATGTGTATGTCTCTTGAGATGCCTGCTTTTGGTCATCAATTGACGCCAAGACTAACCAGCAGAATGAGGAATCGGAGGCATGTATTCAACAAATAGCTACGGACAGCTATCACGGTTGTGCGTTTAATGCGCAAAAGCTCGTCTTGACTTGTGCCACAGGAGTGCGGATGAAATAGACTACGTTGACTCTATTTTGGCCTCTCCCACGCATGTAAGAGCGCCATGGATACCAACTTTGTCCTGCTTGATGCAGCCTTCATATGATTATTTAGCGCCCAGAAGTGCCACAGGGGTTCAAGGGCTGCTGACACTGCTGCAGCGTACGCTTCAGCACGCAGGTTGAAGAATTATTCTGGGTGAATTTCCGGGAGCTGACGCTGCTTGGTTTTTCAGAGTGGCGATGCATTGGTGCCCACATGCGCATCGCTTGCTGCACCTTCTGAAAAAAAAGAGATGGTTTGGGTTCTGAACCCAACAGATGCGGCAACTGTAAAGTGAGTTAAGCAAGGGCTTTTTTCTAGATCTTGCTAACGGATGCTTTTTTCGCATGAACTGCAGACACTGGAGTCTTTGAGAGCATCTTGCTTTTACAGCCACTACTAGTTGAATTTATGGGTCTCAGGCAGCTACAGGAGATGCTTCCCGATCACGGCCCAGGATTTTTGTACTTGGCTCTGCGAGAGCTACGAGGAAACGCAGACGAAGTTGTTTCTTTTTTGGTTGAGAAGATGAAGCCTGCTGCCTTGCGCTCTGTTCCGCTGAAGGCGACTCTCCAAGGTAATCAACTCCGGTGTCCTCTAAGAGTGCCTGACACATTCTAGTCGAATTTTTGCCATGAATGCGGTAATGGTGTTTGGGGCGTGATGGTCTTGCGGAACAGCAGCTGCCATTCGTATTCCCTCAACCACAGCAAGTATATCAGAACTCTTCCAACAATGCTGTTACCCCAGATGCGGCGGAGTATATAGAACGGGAAGAGAAGGGCGCAGCGGCACTATCAAACAAGATCCTTCACAGCGGAGATATTGAGCGGCAGGTCCTTGCTCTCGCGTGAGTTCACGCACCTTGGAGCTCACATCGTCGCCCTTATGTCGTCATTGCAAGATGGATTAGAAACTTTTATCCCTGCGGCCTTCCAGTTCTTGTGCCTATGCAGTAGTTGGGAAAAAAGTCAAGAGCCAGAGAAAGTTAGCGACGTATGCGAGCGCAGGGAAAGGGCTGCTGAAGAAGTTCTGCAGGGTAGCGAAGACTCGGGCGGTTCGCTCTACGACGATGATGCTGACGACGATCTTCTCGGGGATGCTGTGACCACGCCGTGGAACCCTGCAGAGTGTCAGCGTTAACTTAGCATATGCTACCCTTAGCTAACAACAGAAGCTTCTTTGCAGGCAGTCACCCCCGGTGCCACACTGTGGATCATGGAGCAACTTCCCCGGTCACGTGAAATGCATGCTTTGTGCTTTTCTGCGGATCAACTTTGTGTATTGCAGCCCAGGAAGAGGAGTCCTCCTCATCTCGGGAATCCACGCAGGAGGATGCAACCTCTGAGCAGGCATCCCGAGGAGGTAATTATCACCTGCTTTCGTGCAAAGAATTCCAAGAAAATTGCCTTCCTGCATTCAAAGCTCCAGCACGCTGGAGCCTGACAATGCTGTTTCCTAGCAAACATCCTAGGCTGTCCGAAGTGTACTGTGTAAAACGTGCTTGTTAGGACGCATGCCAGTCAGAGGAGGGACATTGTTGGCTCGACGCAAGGAGACGAATAAAGCTGATGTAGGGAACCATTCACGACGCAACCAGTAAGCGTCTCAGCGCCGCAGCGACCACGGTGCTTCTAAAGTAGCAACGATTCGCAACGATTTCACCACAGCGCCAGCTGTGTGAGGATAGAATGCCCCCATATACATGCACGTGCCGTTTATGTCATTAATTCTGGCGGTGGAGTACCCCAAACCCTTTGTGTGTGTGACATCCGAAGACGGCGTAGGAAGATTGAGCGCTGTATGGGTCTCTAAATGCACAAACTAAGCTCTTGTTCACAGCATCAACTGGGAACACCTTCATACGAGTTGCCGAGTGGAGCGAAGGCTCGCTGGGCTGATCGCCCCAAGAAGACAAGGCTTTCGTTGAAGCACTCGGCTCGTTCCGTTTCACCCGGTGTGCGGCCCCGAGAGCCCTCGCCCTATCCCTGCCTGGGCGCACACATGTGTCAGCTCCGAAGCGCAACAAATACGTTTTTCCGGCAACTAATGGCACGACACCTTTCATCGTAGTTCGGGAGGGTTCTGAGGGGGCATCAGACACATACAAAGACGAGGCGAAGCCTTAAAGACGCAGCCGCGTGGCGAAGGAACATCACATGCCAACCACGCCCAAGACCTAAGCTGCTTTCGCCTTACATTTTTGACTACGTATGCTGCTTTGTTCTCTATCCTGCTCGTCGCTTCCCATGCAGCGCGTGCATTGGGGAGATAGCTTAAAGTACGTCTGCTTGCAGGTGACACTAAGCCATGAGAGCTATTCAAGGCGACTGCGCAGCGACTGCCCGGTCGTTGGGATGTTGCATTTTGAGTGAAGAACTGGAAACACATTTGCTGGGCTCTCACACAGGTTACTGCACGCCGCTGTGCAGATTGTTTACCTTCGGGCCGAGAATGTCCCAGCTGTCTTGCTACTAGTGGCGCTTAAGTGCGTGGCCCGTATGTCTGTCGTTTAGCGAATCATGCTCTTCTGCTTGATCTTCATCTAGTCGTAGCAGTTCGTCTATTCGGTGCAGTGGTCCCCGGATAAACGAGACGCGGGCTGAGGCAGCCTCAAAAGCTTCCCGCGTCAGCTCCTTGCTATTTCGCACCACGTTCCCTGGGGAACAGAAACACCACCGCAGCAGGGCATCCACGAAGGCCTACAATTTCCACTGCTCCAATCACCTTGTGTACTTGTTTTGGTTGGGGGCTCTGCTCTGTTTAAAGTCGAATGGATTTCCTCGGGGTTCAATGATTCTAAAGATGAATTCACCATGGCAAGAATCTGCCACAATGCTTTTGAGTGACATGCGACGGCACAGGCTCTGCAGTCGAACGAAAGAAACTGCAACTCGTCCCGTACCTGCAGTAGACACCTTTTCAATCCAGTGTGCTCGTGTGCGATCGAAAAAATCCCTTAGGCACTCGCCCTGTGCAGGTGTTTCCAGGGGGTCGTCAAGGTCGTACTGCTCCTGCGACGAACATATTTGCATTCTCGGGCATTTATGCCATACAAAAGAAGGCTGCAGTGCAGTTACCGACCAGGCTTTAATCATACAGAATGCTCTGAATGCACTCTGCAGCTGCGGAGCTTTTGATAGTTTACCAGTATGTCGAGCGTTGCTACGATGCTAACCACTGAATATAACATGATACGAAAAGTGATCGGAATATTCCATGCAGCATTCCATTTACCCTCAGCTGCTGTATCTCCTCCTGCACGCGACGTCGCACCCGCTGTACATTGCCTTGCCGTCGTGGTACTTCTGAGAGCAAAAAGAGCTAATGTACGGTATATCTCTGCAGTCGTCATCCCAATCAAAGCCTGCTACCTGTGCCACATGGCGTACCCTCATCCGACTCTGATGTTCCGTCGTCCAGCTCATCGCTCTCCAAGCTACTGGAACCACTGCTGCTGCTAACATCGCCGTCGCTTTCATTGCTGCTCTCATGGTCACTGTCTGCTCCTTGCCATTCCTGTTCATGCATAGTGCCCTCCAGCACTCGAATCCAGCGATCTCTGTAGGCAAATCTTCTCAGGAACACTCCGTTTCAACTTCATACTTACTGCCTTTTAAAAACCCAAGAGGCTTGTCATTTACGCGAAACACCAATTGTGAGTCAAACTCTTCCAGTAAGGGTTTAAATATGTCAGTTGGGCAGCTGCGACTTAGCGCAATAGCCGCTTTAAAAGCCGTCCAATGCTGGAGTTCTGCATGGGTTTCTACCCAAATCACACACCTCTTATTTAGATTGAGGGTCCAGCAGTCATCTAAAGTGATCTCCTTGCTCCCCAGCTCCATTATGCCCCCCATGAGGACCAAGTTCGAACCACGCACGCAAAGCATTCCATGAAGACGCGGTAGCGGCATATCAGCCGAAAACAATGGCGGGGTCTTTTGCGCTTCTAATGCCCTCAGTGGCGCTGCGTCGATCTTTGTGGCAGCCTGGGAACCATTAAGCTGCGTCTGTGTATCATGACAGTCGGAGGAGTTATGTGCTTCCACACATGCATAAATCTCAGAGAGAGTGGACAAGGTCTCATTTGTGTCGGCATTCTTCTCGTTGCCTCGAACTAAAGAAGCCGCGTGGACTGCCGCTTCATTATCTGGTTCTCTCCGCCTAGGGGCGTCGTCTTGAGTAGGCATAAAGGGCTGTGTCACTTCCGAAAAGTCCTGAAGACGTAGCTTCACCAGGCGGCCTTTGGCATCAAAGTAAGCGAATGTTTCCTGAGACAAAAACCCACTGAAACCCGCAATGCGGCTAGTGAGCTCTGCAGCACTACACGCACACTCTCAGACTACCCAAGAAGCTATTTTGTCGTGTTTAACATGAGCCATCTTCCTTCAACATACTTTCCAGTTTTCTTCACCGTCAGAAGATTCTTCATCAGCGTTGTTTTCGCAGTTGCTTTGCTCTTCCACAAGGTCCTGTTGACCTGGAAACCAACATCCATGACTTCCGCTGTGTCCTTAATAGCAGTTCTGCACACCTTTGGTACTAATGCGCTTAACTAGCTGAAAATGCTGAACACGAAATCCGCCTCGTCAAGCTTACCTACAGCTTTCTCAAGCTGCTCGCAAGATTGCCTTTTGCGGTTCTTCTTCTTTCCATTCTTAAGCTCGAGCCGGTACCAGCGCCTAAGCAAAATAAGTTTAAGACAGCTCTCTTCCAAAGCTAATATGGGAGGTATTCATAAAAATAACTCTCTCCAAGCAGGCGGAGCTTGATAAAGCATTCTTGAGACAACCGCGTGAACGACGCAAAGAGCAGAAAACATGCCGTTGGACCTACCTCTTTGTCATATCAAACGAATAAAGATCGTTGAAAAACACGGATGCCAGGTTTGTCCCTCCATCATCTTGGTCGGCGACACCGCCAAAAACAATAACACTAGACTTGTATCCGGTTGCGCACATTCCTGCAAAAAAGTCAGGACGGTCCGCAAAATATGTTACTAGGGTCTAGAACGTCGGCCAAGGGCAGCTCAGATTCTGATTCAGCAGGCAGTGCAGGAAACTGCAAACACCGACATTCAGACTAGCTCCGCGCTTACACTACAGTAGCATAAAATCCAGCAAGCGCACGACAAAGGATCTTCAGGAGCATACGTCAACTCACCTGTTCTCGGCGAGGGTGGAGTACCGCCATTTCTAATTTTCTCCCAGTTGGGAGTTTGCGTCCGTGCTCCCTTAGCCAGAGGCTTCAAGTCCAAGAGCCACGAGTCCTGAGTCGATTCACAGCCCTTGACGTTTGTTATGCTTAATTTCAGTGATCTTCACTGCAAACTGCTTCCTAGTTTGTAAAACGATTTTCACTAAGACCCTATGGATTTAACATTCGCCAAGCATGTGTGTAATGCGTGTACCACAATGCATGGCAACCTCAATACACGAGATTTGGCTGGGTCTGTGAATCCAAAACCTACAGTAAATGTCTTCCCCTGGACACGCTTGTTAGTGTCTCTGATCTTGGCGAAGCCACCATGAAGCAGTATCGCATCTCCAACAGCAATAAAGACACAGCCGCCTCGGGCCTCCGGAATGTGAGCATGAGGAGGAAACTCTATTTTCCGCCATCTGAGAAAAGTAAACCTCCCTTGATTGGTTTTTGCTCAATAAACTGCCGTAACTACCAACACAGCACACTGGCAGCCATCAATACGTCAAGCTCAATGCAGGACTGTCACCTACTTTGGCTGATCGCTAAGTCAACACTCAGCGCAAAATGAGGGGGACACATCAGCGAACAAACCTGTTTTCGCCAAAGATGAATATATATAAATCGTTGTAGTAGCGTGTATCTCTCCCCGTGTCGTGAAACCCGCCAAACAGAACTAATAGGCCACGCCAAACGACCTACAGCATCCGCAAATGTACAGTTGTGTCGCCTCAGCGAATTATCCATATGCGGCGCCTCTACTTCCCACCCTAGGTAAAACTACTGTCCGAAGTTGGTTGCATGACTCCATGGCGTGACCTCTCGCACACACACCAACGATATTCTACCACGAAGCGACATGAAACCACCTGCAGCACCATGTGAAGCATCCCAACGTCCCCATCAGTGCTCTCTTCCTATTTCGCTGTAAAGCTAAACCAGTAATTTACGCTTCTTCAAGCCTTTATGGACTTAAGAGAACCCGCTTAAGACACACCATTCTGTGTCCGCTCCGAGGTGAAGGAACCTGTGTAGAGGACTCGACGAGTATTTTGCTCCACAAATTCGTCTTCAGATCAAACTTCCAAAAGTCTTTGAAATGATGGAATTGATAATACGTCGAAAATTCACCTCCAAATATATACAGTGCGTCACTGAAGGCAGCAAGAGAAACATGAGCCAGTTCGACAAACCCCAACTCTTTCGCTTCCATGAGCGAAATCCAAATATCCGAACACCTTCAGCCCTACAAACTGCCTAAACGTCCTCCAAAGTAGCCTTGAAAACGGCTGCGCTCTGTCACAAAAACAACTCAGGCCATTCCGGTTCCTTGAAAGCCAACGGCTCTGCAAGGCAAGCTCTTGGGCTCACTTGTGATATACGGCTTGGTGAGAGCAGCGTGCCTTCGGCATTTCGGGGGCTTCGAGACGTTTCCATTCAGCTTTGTCCATATCCCATTTGAAGAGGTCACCAAAGACACGGACTTTCTTGCCGTCAAAACTCTCCCCACCAAAAAGCAAGAAGTCCCCACTTTGGAGTAAGACACGCAAGCAATCGGCAAAATATCTCATCATTCAGTGAAGAGATAACCACCGAATAAAGGCGACGGGTTACAACATATAGAAGCCGTGACCATACCTTGGTACGAGGGTTAGAGATGCATGCGCCCTAGGTGACGGTTGTTCACACTGTACAGCTTGGGTCTTATTGATTTGTCTTTGCCGCTGTTCTTCTTCCAACTGCTGAAGCAACACTTCTATTGGAGTCTCATCACAGTCTACCTCGCCTTTTCTCTGTTTTTTCTTTTGCTCTTTGGCTGCGGCTTTTTTCTGCTGCAGTTCCCGTCGTGCAGCCTTTTGTTGTGCTTTTTGGACGTTGCCCTTCGTGGGAGCCATCCTCTGTGCGTTGTTGATGTGAAAATTACATAGTAATTCTGACAGTAAAAAGCGTTAGTGGCCTGAACTGTAACCCTTCCCGACGCGCTATGGGAATGGGACATTGACTGGAGCTCGATGCGTTTGCCGCTCCCCAAATGCCACCAATATATGAAAACATCAAATAGCACGATGATTTTCAAACACTTTCAGAATTCGTGGGTGGAATCTGGAAGCTGAGGATAAAGGCTTAAAATCAGCATGCATCGGCCCCACAGGCCTTCTACACCCCCTTTCAGAAGGAAGGTATTTGGATTACTAGGAGAAAGGCATGCGCCAGCTGAATTCAAACATATTGTTGCAAACAGAAATCTGGATGAGTGCACTGAATTCAAGAATTTTCAGCAAGCTCTAAACCCAGTGCTGCTCTGCTCGGGGCTGCTAGTGACCACTGGTTTCGCGTTTGAAAGATGGCCTGCGCTTGCTATTGAGAGACCGAAAATCTCCGTTGGTAGTTGAACAGAACGCTCAAATTATGCATTAGTTTTCGATTTGACTCGGCGAAGCAGTACCTGTGAGGTGCCTGTGCAAGTACCGTAAGCTTTAGCAGGTAATTATCATTGCATTGCCTTCTGTCTCTGCCTTCGGCTCGATGGTTTCTGATTCGTTCCGTTCCTTCAGGGACCTAAATTCCAGTGAGCCCCATTAGCAGAGCTCAACAACAAAGCTCCACGCCATGAGCACGTTCTTTGTTCTCAAGGCCGCGGGGTCTCCGCGGCTTTTGTTATGGTTGTACTAGACCAGTTCCCCTCGTTATACTAGTTTTCCGTAGCTTGTGGAAGCGCCGCATCAAGTGACGCTGGAGCAGTCAATGTGCCAGTTTAACTCCAACGCTGCGGAGCGTCGCATCTGGGCTACTTCTTTGATACGCTTGTTTAGAATACCACATACGCAACAGGTTGGCTGCATTTATTATCTTTTCCATGCTCTCCGTCGGGACCTAAAGAGCTCAATCTTCACAGCGTACATATCGGCCTTTACGCCGATTTTTTCTGTCTACCTTTGCTCAGCGCAAGAGCCCCAGAGAATTCTCGAAGCCCTATCTAGCTCCCTTGAAGCTCGACTCGTGCCAACCTGTTGTTGCCGCAGCAGGCTGGTCACACTGGTACTGAAGCAGACGAGGAACAGCGAAAGTCCGCCACTCACACGCTGGAAGTTCTGACCTACTCATACCAAGCGATGCGGGGCATCTGCCACGCATTAGTGAAGCAAAATGGGCGCTCCAGCGTTTGCGACCTTGCAGATTGTGTTCCTAGCCGTCCCCCCCAAACTCCTAATTGACTGTTCAGCCCTCATCATTAACGACACGACGACGAGCCATGGAGCCTTCGAGCTGTCTGCGGAGGTGGGGTCGAGGCCATGTGGAGCAAGCACGGCTTCTGCTTTTAAAGAACTGTGCGCAACTGAGCTATCTTGTGGTTGCTTCACTAGTACTTGCTGGCAACTAGAAGTCTTGTTCATCCTTCATAGTTGTGATACTGCTTCACAGAACACAGCTCTGTCGTTCCACAGGCAGCAAATATGATCCCAAACGTTCTACTGTACTTAATACAAATAGCAAGCGTCATGCTATTCGCCCCAAGGGTTGCAAACCCTACTTAATACAAATAGCAGGCGTCGTGCTATTCATTCCGCTGCTTACAAATCCTACCTAAAACAAATAGCAGGCATCATGCTATTCGCTCAAGGGCAACAAATATCCGTCACGGTAAAGTTTGACGGCGAGTGTCAAGTAGAAAGCCCTGCTTGTTGACACGTGCTTGCGGACAACAGCAATACAAATAATTCCGCTGGAACCTGGAACCTGGTCCCTAAAGCGAATGGCTTTATACTCCACAATGCTCAGCAAACGCTTGGCGCGAAGCCCAAAGGTGATCCCACAGCTACGCCATTTCTTACAATGTAGGCACCCACGACACTTGGAATGCAGCAGAACAAAAGCGATGATCTAGGCCAAAACGTACGACTTCAAGTGCATCTCTGCGGAAGGACGTGCATTTACCTGGCAAAACCTAATGAAGAGGCCGTGAAAAGCAAGCATGAAGAAATGCAAACGCGGGTATCCTCCTCTTTCGAATCTTGATGTTAACCTAGCAAACGCATTTAGCTGAAGACTGTGGAGAAAGACCAGCAGCTGATATACTTGCAGTTCTAAGCACTACAGGAACAAAATGATGGGTGTTGTTCTACGGGGTTGCTTCACAGATATGTGGCGAATCCTGATACTTCTTATGGTGCACCCAGTACTGCCAATTCAACATTTCAGCAAGAAAATATAACACTTTGTCGATGCAATACTAGCAGTCTCAAGATCTTGGGAAGAATGCTTATGGTGCCCTGAAGTCAAGCTTGCCCTCCCTTTTGGGGTACCTGCTGCTTGCCACAATGCTACAAGCAAAAGTGCGTTCGGGGTCTCGTTTTAATATTCTAGTGCTCCAGAACGATGCCCACCAAAAATGTGCTTCGATAGTGCGCCCGTCATGACGGGTTGTCGCCGTTGTGAAGGCAGTACGAAACCAAGGAAGCCTGCCTCCTTGCTCATATTTCGAAGGCCTATACAAGAATATCCTGGACACCTAACAGTCGGAGATAAATCTCCAAAGCCGTGGAATCCCGCTACCGCGAATAACAAGCACAATAAACGCCTTCTCCCACACTTCAACAACACAGGTGAAATTCAATCCAATCTCAAAAAATTGCGATGCATGTCGGAGCTGTCCCCTCTAGCCTCCCGCACCATAAAATGCACGCACGCAGTGCAAAAGTCATCCAAGACGGCCTTCGCACTACCATCCACCGTTATGAGCACCGTTTGGACATAGAGTTCCTCAGAGCCCGAGCAGTGGGCATTCAGGCCCGTGGTGCTTTGACTGTCGGTTTTGGTCAGACCCGTGGTGCTTTGGCTGTAGGCTTCGGTGTAGGCCTTGGTTCAAGTCCAGTTGCCAGAATATAATATCCGGCAAACAACAATACCACCGAGAGAAGGTCGACTAAAAAATGTCGCTTGATTTTCTGGGACATGACGCCCAAACTGCACGTACACACACGCAGAGCATCTGAAGGCAATTTTGGGGCAAAGAACGCCTTAATCTACAGAGCAGGAACCCAGCGAGTCTTTTGAAACGAACCACTCAGCAGTTAGTCGAAGGCATGCACCACGGTGGCACCACGGTGACGGCGGATAAGGCAAGAGCCTTGTCCAACTACATGCAAGCAACGTCCAGCCATCTCTGAATGCTTACAAATATTGCGTGTCTGACGACTTCTCCGTCTCTGTTGCATCTGCCTCAAGCATGAAAGTACGAAGAAGCTCGAGATTTGCCTTCTCCTGTTCTTCCGATGAAACAGTGACGCCCACAGGGCCTGCATTCTGCGATGCAACACCTGCGTCGACTCCTGCAGAAGCACCCCTTTGCGCAACACCGCCAGCCGTATGAGCACTCACTTCTCCCTCCATATTCTCCACCACAGGTATATCCGCACTTCTGGCTGCATCGACTGCAGCAGAATAGTGACCGACGAGCAGCAGCTGCAGCACCACCAACGCCAATAGTCCACACCGGCGAAACGGCCTGAGCCGAGTCTGCCTCCTTGCGCTCCCCATGACTTTACTGGAAGAATCCCTAGCAACTAGCGTCTCATGACCCTGAGCATGCGCCCCACACCGAGGAGAGGCGGGTGCTCGCCGACCTGTGCCCATGTCACATGTATCCCTGCCAGCCATATAGACCACAGCTCTAAGACCCTCGATCTTTGAGGATGAAAATCCTCTACACGGCGGCGGAGAAAACTTGTCCCATAGTGGGTCTGTCACGTACTGCGGCAGGATCTCGACGACGGAGCGAGACACTTCCTTGCAATCACACGAGTGTGGGAAGAGGAAGAATTTCAGAATTAATGCAAGATATAGACGAGAAGATGCGATGTACAAAAAAGGAAAGACGGGTTGTTTTGGGCTGAAGCGAAGGGGACGCGGATCACAGCAGTGCTGAAGGAAGTGTAAACGCGCCTCCCGTTGAAGATCTCCCTTAATTGCTTTACCATGAATTTTGTTCCTTTCAATCACTAAAAGGGGGAGCAAATGGAAAAGCGAAAAGCGACCCCACAGAGAAGCCCTAAAACATTGGCCTCTTGCTGGTCACCAGCCCCTGCAGCGAGCGACGACGCACAGAGCACAGCAGCGTGAGGTACCTTTGCATTCAAGTGAGTGCCCACTTAGGCGCTAGTAACTCACGAATGCGCTAGTTAGATGAGCATGCGGGAAATTGTCGACACTTTTACGTTGCCATCACGAGGGGAACTGCTCTTCAAGCTGTAGCTCACCGAGTGCTTGGTCCATATAGCACTCCGATAGGATGAAGAGAAAGTACCTCCTGTGCTTCTCCGAGGGTAGCTCACTGCTACAATATTAGGCCCCCTTAACCAACTCTCCAAACTAAGGGCATTATGGCTGGTAAAAGCGTATTAGCATTTGCAGCTCCAGCATCTGTAACGTACAGTGCACAAGCTATTTTTGTGCCATGCCAATCAATACTTACCACAGCGTGATGTAATGGAAGTAACATGAGGAAAAGTCTTACGATGTTGTTGCTGGCGTAAGTAAGTGCCCGGCTCAAGGTGCTAGAGCGAGCGACATGTCTCTAAAAAGCAGCATAATGACCAAAATAGTCGAAGGTTGGTGCCTGAAGTATAAGGTGGCAACGAGGCTTTTCGCTGCAGGAATGCCTGCAGTGGGGACGCGTGGAGATGACGCAGTGCAATGAGGCCCGGATGAGGACTCAAAATGAGTGCCAGCGCTGATTACCCAGTGTGAATGAAATATCCGTGCATACGCTAATGCCTCTTTTGATCGAACAATCACCTGGTGCCGAACATTGAGGGGTGCTGTGCTCGGAAATACATTGTGATATCGATGTATAGCTGAATACGGGAAACAGAAACAAGGCTTGGGTTTCAATTCAGGACATTAAGACTTGGTCCATACCCTAGAATAACCTAAATGCGCTGCCGACAAGCGTGAATAGTCAAACAAGAGGATATCTCATATGTCCTTGAAAGACTTGTGAAAATCCTCCTCTTGAAGTCCTCCTGGCATTTGGGAAAGAAAAAGATTTGCATAGAAGATGTGCAGCATGTTGAGAGAGATTCCGATCTGGATGTCACATGCGAAGTAGGGTATTTCACTGCAAAATCCGCAATATCGACTCAACAGGCTTTTACCTATACTGTTGGCGTACGGAATGCTTTAATCATGCTTCCAACAACTATTACAAGCGTGCATTTGACTGAGACGCCAGGCGTTGCCGAGCGACTGCCAAGAAAGCAGAGAGCAGACGCCTGTGCCTCGCTTAAAGTATGTCGCAATGTTGGGCACTCGTTTAGCGCATTTTTTAGTTTGCAGCTTTGACATGGGAGCACCGCAACACACTGGTGCTGCTGCTACTGCGGCACCGCTGCAGCTAATTGTAGTATCTGTTCGTTGCATTAGCTTCGTATCCATGGAGAGGCTATTGCTGCCGCAGGAACCTTCGCACCTCTGGCAGCATCAGCAGCAGCAGCAGCACCAGCGAATCGTTCCCTTAGTAGAATTTATGCCCTATTGACTCTCGAATCTTACCTTGAAGATACTTGAACATTACATAAAGTAATCTAGAGCCATGTTCATGGACAACCCAGCTGATACCAGTTATTCGGACTAAGGCAGAGCTTCAGTTATCTTGGTATACTGCCTCGGTGCTCTCGCCAATCCTTCCTCTACCACTATATAGCAGAACAGCTTCGGCACCGGCCGCAGCTTGACCATTTTTCAGATAAAACAATTTTTAATTTTTTTAGGTTCAGCTTTGGCTGCTTCAAATGGTGTCTGGGATTTATTGCACGGACCCACAGCACAACTGACATCACAAGCAGGGATCCGGTGTGGGTGAGATATCGTTAGACGGGGAGGCAGTTACTTGCAAGAATATAGCCTTTTGGGGACTTTCTCAACAAGGGGACGAGTCCCTGCAGAGCCCATGCCACAGTCATTATTCGAAGCTGAGACCACCAGCTAGCATGCTTCGTTGCTGCGGTGACGTGATGTAGAAGAATCTTAGGACGGCTGCTGACAGACGCGCAGTGGTAAAGACTTACATCCGCCTGGCACGCAGCAGGTGTTTGGTGGAGTCCACGGAAAGGGCGAGACGGCGGACTGCATCCAGAGATCTGAGGGACAGTTAATTCCACCCAACATAGTGACTAATGAGACCATGAGCTAAGCAGACCAATATTAGAAAGATCGGTAAAGGTGTAGAGCTACCAAGGTCCCTCGAGGTGGGCGTCGGTGTGGCGAAGTGGGCTTTTATAGTGCGCAGCGCTGCGGTGTAGCCCAGAAGTGACCTTCAGGTTTACAGGATTCACAACATATGGGAAAACGAAATACAAAGAACCAAGAGCACCAACAAAGGGAGTCATTTCTATGGAGAGGCCTGATGTGCGCTGCTTTTAGGCTCAGGGTGTAAGGTTTGTAAGCGAAAGTGAAGCTGTGGTGCACGATGCACGGCGCAGTTTCATTTTCTCTTGTGCATGTTTCAGCCTTTTACTCACGCAGCACAGGAAAAAAATTTGGAGAGATGAAGTGCACCGCCTAGAATTTTGACCTGCAGTGATGTTCTTCAGAACTTTTTGATTCTTTTACGATGCTTTCAGTGAGTAGTGGTAGGTGTGTGCTTACGTAGCCCCGACAGGAAAGGCACACGGGAGCTACCCTGGGCTTAGCTCAGTACAATTTGGGAGCCGTTCCGGAAAGCCTTCTCTAGACCCGAGTAGCATTCTCAGCCCAAAGACCTCTAACAGGATGCGCCAATTGCGGAACTCGCGTGTGGGAGCTGCTCATAACCAGATGCCCTCGAGAATAATCAGTGTTTTCAATCCAAATCAAGGAAGAAAGCAGGGAGCTCCGACTCCCGTAGGTTGGGTTTATAACAAGGATCACACATGATTGGGGCAGAGGCGGCTACGTAGATCAACCCCACACCCAAAAGCTGCAGAGCCTACTGCAGATCCAGTTCTACACTGCTAATAGGGGAGCCACTACGCGAGGCTCAGGCCAGCATGACACACTTTCCGAATACATTACATGAACCTACCACCACACGGCATGCCCCCTACTCAAAGGTTACTCGAAATGGACCCTACAGCCCATCTTCACGCTAGCAACTGGTGTCCCAATCATGGCGCAGGCTAGAGCAACAGCTAGGGACGGCGTTCATCCCCCCTCACATCCACCGCGTTTGATAGTATTGTCTGCTACCAAGTCGGTAAGGTCGCGTCAGCATTCAATGTGCTTCATTGTCACTAGTCAGCCAAACCTAAGGAGAGGATCCTGCAGTGTGAGCGCTCAGTCCCGCCATTCCCTGTTATAATGACTGTGTGACGCACGAAAGCGAGGGGCCACTTCGTGTGTCAGTGCATTGTAGGCGCATGCTCGAATGCTCGATACTCCCGTTTTCGTTCATATTCTCCAGAGGCCGCTAGTTAGCCTCACCTGCTTCATTTTTAGGTGATTCTTTGTTTTCAGTGCGCCCGACAATAGCGGTTACACGTAACATTCCTCCCTGGTGAAGGAGCAGAGGCAGCCAAATAGTGGCTGGGGCTTGGGGCCGTGGGGTGACAGCCAAATAGCTTTTTCCATCTTTCTACAGCGACTCGTCTTCGCTTTGTAAGTTTCGAAGCCTCTCGAAGCCTCATAGCAGAAAACGGTTCCTTCTCATTGCCACAGTACTTTTCGTCACGTCCGCATTGGCTTGCCCGTAGGGCAGGCGACGCTGTGCACATGAACCACCAACGTTTTTTCCCTCCAATTCGTTCCCTGAATTCATCGTTTCACTATATTCTGGCACGGGTGTTTCTCTAGATAGCACACACGCAGGAACCCTGTAGGTACAGGGGTCTTTAACAGTCAGCGTCGCTGGTCAGCCGGCAACAAAGAGGATATTAACGGAGACGAGTGAGTGACCTCACACAGCTGGCATCACAGCTTGACGGTGCGCAATTACACCTCACAGGAAAGGCGAAGGGGCTGTGTTTGCAATCTGGGCTCGAAACTGTTCACCAGTGTGCACCAAACTTCCCCAACAGCGTGATCCCGCCGTTGTTAACAGTAGCGAGCCTCAACAGCTCAACAACGCTGCCTTCAGGCAGCCAGAAGGGACACCAGGAGAGGTCATTTGTTCACAGATACTCCAGGGATCCCTGTGCAAGAGGCCGTGCGAACGGGTGGCGAACCTTTATCCTCCACCCGACTACTCCCCACTTTGCTGCGTTGCCGAGCATAGGAAAGTCATCGGGTGCAGCAGCAGCGTCAGAGAACAGGTGTCGTGCGCTCCTGTTTCGTTAAGATGGCTGATAAGCTGCTGAACCGCAAAGGCGACTTAATTCGCGACCAGCTCGAGTGCAATCCTGTTCCCATGGATTCAAACGATCCCATGTATGATAGCGAGACAGAAGTAAGATATATTTCAGTTTTTACATGAAAACTGTGTGAATTGGTGAGCTTGTGTGTAGAGAGTAGATTTAGGGGCAAAGGCTAGGACATTTCAGCTCAGTAATACACCTGTTAAGAGAGTCTTGACAGTGAGCCTGGCATGCATCACAGGATGACAACTGCTTTTACCAAGTGATCGAAGTGGGAGCATGCGACTATCGGTCCACGATTAACAA